GAATGCCTAAAACTATGCTATGAAAAAGTTCAACAAATCCTGGTCGCTCAATATCTGGCTTGAAGAGTAGGGCGACCGCCATATGTAGTAGTTAGCAATGCGCACTGCTAGCCACTACACCACATCGGCCGCCGAATTATTTGTGAGGAAATAAAAAAAGGAATAAAAAGTTCCCCGCATAGCCACCAGTTTGTCAATCAGACCGAACGAAGTCCGGAACCTGCTGGGTACATTGCTCCCTGCTAAGGATATCTACTTCATATCCTTCATCGAAGGTTATAACTGGCACCCAGTAGTCCGCATGTTTCAGCAAGCGAAGCCTAAAAAGACGCTTGCTTCCTAGGGTGCAGTGCGCAGAGCACCACTAATGCATGTGAAGGCCGTTCTTTTTACCTTTTATAGTGGAAAGGTGGTGACCAGACCAGCAATTGGTTCAAAGACGGAACCAAGATAGAAGTAGATAAGAATTCACCGCGTGGGGTACGCCAGCTGACAAAGTAACAAAACAACAAACTCCAACCAAAGATGGGCTGCAAAACCTTGTGAGGTGGAACTCGAATCTGGTCAAGACTTCATAGTGCGAAGCCTAAAGTCCACCGCCTTCATTGATTTGGTATTTCAACTACTGCTTTTGTCCACATCTGGATAGGGCCAAGCGGCGGTGGATTCTCCACCAATACTTTTACGAGAGACGCTCAAGCCGACATACTACATATAAAACTTATTACACAAACTAATTGTTGTTGTACAAGTAAAAACTGTCACCGAAGTCCATTAAGCGCGTCCATAATCAACACCACAGACTCTCCAGATTCGATATTCTCCCATTTCAAAAGAGAAAATAATTTTTAAAATCAAAACCTTACAATAGAAAAAGTATTAAAAAAATATTTAAAAAGTCCTTTGCGAAGCGGAAAATTTTCAAAATCCAATAGTGATTCTATAAAATTGTCAGGTTTTTTTTTTTCTTTCGCTTACTTCTTAACCGTTTTTTGTCAATGGGGTTCTCTCTGTACTAGGCCTGCCAGTAGCGCGTTAAGCTCGTTTGGTAGCGCGGTTTCATGTAACCGACATTTTAAGCCTGGCGCCAACAACAACAGCAGCAGCATCAGCAATGAAGCTCCCTCCCTCACACCCTACCAATCAGCAAAGCACAAAGAGAGACCCACAGCAGACCACCAATCCAATTTCGTTTCTAATTTCTATGCCTCAACCAAAGCGCAACTTCATACACGTTTGCGCGCTCTTTACTTAGTCATGTGAAAGCGCCTATATACACTTAGTATTTTTACGATAATTTTGCTGGCGTCGTTTTTTCCAACATACAAATGCATATGTACATATACATATATGTATGTATGAATATATGGATTGTAGTAGAGCATGCTAAATTGGTTTTGCGTTGCACTGTGGCAAACGCTAATGAATGGGCAAGCGTTACTTGGCAGGCTTTGCATGCATTTAGGCGCACAAAAGTTGTATAGAGCCTATAAAAAATAGACTAAAAATAAACTAAACCGAAAAGTGTAAAATCTAACAAAAACTAAAATGAAAACAAAAAAATCGATTTAAATACTTGCCACATCTCAGCGAGCTACGTGGCATATAACAAACAAATGAGGGCAATAAAAATGCCTATAGTGAAGCATATATTTAGGCGCTGCACAGTATGGTCAGCAACACCAGCTAACAAAAGCACAACTAAAACGCGAAATTAATGCTTAGAAAGCGCAACCAAATGCGCGCTCAAACCACGCACCACTTGGATGCGCATTTACCAACAAACTGGCTGCAGTTGTACAGCGCAAGTAAATGCATAAAAATCTACTTTTGTTGCATGCATTTAGGCGCTAAGTTTTTTCGCTTTCTTTAATAATTGTAAATTGCAATATACTGCAAAACCAGCCGTGTATGCATCTCAGTGTATAACGGTTTGTGCGCACTTGAACGGCCGTTGTGTTGCAATTAGTGCACAATTTTCCATGTCCCCTTTTCGCACACCGCCAATGCTGCACCGCCACTGCGCTCAACGATTTTCTAATGAAAAAATCCGCTGAACGCCACTTTGGGGATGGCTGAAATTGGCTACTGCCTAGAAGATACTCTTAAGCTACTACTCACCTCATCTCCATCGGCAGATATGTATCTCATTTCTGTAACGATTTTTTTGCGAATCTTCAAAGAAAATTATATGAAGTGGTTGACACGAACTCGTAAAGAAATTTCTGTACGAAAAATTAGGAAAATTTTGAAAAACTTCTGCAAGAAATTCTTCACATTGTAGCATTATTTTCATTTCTTTACCGATTTTCTTCCGAAATTTCTTAAAAGAAGCCAAGTGTGCACAGTTTTATTTAATTTTAGGAAATTCGGCAAAAAATCGGATGAGATCTTTACGAATTCCTAAAAATTTCTCTACAATTCAGAATACGCAACACCGTGAGCAAAAAAAGAAAATTATCAAAAATCAACCTGAATTTGTTAACCACTTAAAACTGTATACTTGAATTCTGATTAAAAAGTTTGAAATTTTGATGAAAATTTGCTAACTTTTCCTTACTTTTCTCCACAGTTTGAATTTTTATTTACATGGTTTTTGTTATGTATATTTTTACAAAAACTTTGCCATGAAAAACATTTTTGATATCGAAGAAAAATCAATGCAAAATACTTCTTAAATGCCGCATGTTCGTTCTCATTTCTGTAGTTTCATTAGAAACATTCCAAGCAGATGCAACTCAAAGTATTTTAGAAAATCTTACTTCAAAAAAATATTTCAAGACCTGCAGGGAACCGCATAAATATTTTTCTCGCCTAACAAATGAATTTTGCATATCACTCTCTAGCTAAGCGCCTGCAAGTAGGCAATATCAAAAATAAAGCGAATGAAAATTGCATTTTAAATCGAAAACGAAACACATCTCCGCCCTCCGCCCTCCTAGCTCGTCGGTGCATACTTCTGGGTGTGCAAGCATGCCATACTATTCCCTCACTAAGCTTAAAAGCATGCTTCATATGTTATGCGTTAGCATTTTAATTATTTAACAGTGTTTGAAAAGAAATCGCCAAAGCGAAATGTTGGCTCTTGATGCGTAAGGGTTGCGGGTAACAAATATGTAGCTCAAATTTCACACGAGTAAAAAATAAAAAGTGTGTAGCTACTTTTACTGTATATTTGACATGTCAAAACTGGCTGCAGCCACCACCACTTCTCTGTATATCGTAATAAAATATTTAATTGGCAACCTGTCAATGCTGTCGATTGAATACGCGCATCTCGTCCTTTTTTCGTTCGACGTTTTTTTTATAAAGCCATCACACCTATGATTTGCCAGTGCTCATTCAACGCTAAGGCGTATTGCATACTTGCAGGCGCTAATTAGTTAACATTTCCGTTTAATTGAGTAACTGAGTAGCAGCTATGTATAGGTGGCGAAAAGAGCGCAAATATAATGTGAGTAATGCTGGCTGGGTGGGCCAAGTGGCAAGAGTTATTGAGCTGTTTGTCAAATGATTTCGAGCGTTGAATGCCTACGATTGATTTGCGTTCGAGCGTAAGTGTTAAAATTGACACCTATCGCAATTGAGCATTTGCATTTTCAGGCAACCAACGAAAGGAGTTGAAGATAAGCATTTGGAGTAGATACTTATTAGGGAAGGGTTGATTGTGATTGCGCATGAAAGCAGTAATTCTAATTAATTTACAGAAATACTTATGGGAGATAATTAATATTTTGTGCACTCAATAGCCCAAAAGTAACTGCTTTATTCCCACGCCAAAGGCAAAAATCATTTAACTACTGCGCCTAAAAGTGTGCCGCAAAAATTTGGGTTTAAGAGCTTAACCGCCATATTCTAACAAAGTCACAAAGCTCAGCGCATCACTTTTTTGATTTCTACTTTACTAAAGAAATGGACAAAAATTTTTTTTTTTTTTGTTTTTGTGTAGCGGCATACTTTGAGGCGCAGTAGAAAGCACAATAGAGATGGGATGAGTTTTGTGACTTTTGTTAAAATAGGGCTGTTAATAATAGGCATGTTTTATTCAACCATCACAAGCAAATAGCTAAATCTTGGTCAAACAAAACGAAATTAGCTTATTTCCTATGTTAGCCTAATTTTGACAGTTGTTTGACTGCAAATAGTGTCAAAGTAAGTTTTTGCCTCTTTCTGATTGGCTGAGGGAGAAAATTTCTGATGCTGAATGGCAATGCCTCTTGTTCAATATACAAGCCAAGATAGCTTTTCATAAGCCAATATAATTATGTTGGGTAAGTCCTCCATACAAAATAAGCTAATAGCTTAAATTTCTGGACAAATAAAACACGGCCAATGACAATTTCCAATGATGTTGCTATGACCTATTGGGTTTATTGACAACGGAGAAACAATGCTTATATTTGGCGTTAAAGTTTTAGGCGCAGTGGTTGAAGCAATTGGCATGCGATGAGTTCTGTCATTGCCGTGGGAATGGGGAGGTAAATTTCAGTTAAAAAATGGCTGCCGCTGCCTAAAATTGACAAGATAAACCACAGCAGAACTTTTAAAATCGCACCTTCATAATCAATTTTAAGATTTCACACTACGGCAGTAGAAAATCAATAGTATACAAGGAAAGCATAAAAACTGCTGGCTAGACAGCGAATAGCTAAAAGAAATGCACACGCACTCGTATGTAAATAACAAAAAAAAAAACTATACTATATAAAATGCAGAAAGTGAAAGAAGGACTGTAAATTCGTTCTCCTTAAGACAATTTAGGTATTCGGAAAGTCAGTCAAAAATACAATACGTGCAAAAAAGTTTCGCATCAGCAGCATTTTAAAAGCGCGCCTAAAATCCTTTCTTTCGCTCATGTCAAAATTTCTCTAACCGCCTTAAGTAAGTATGAAAAAGATATAACTAAAAACATGAGTGAAAATATAATTATTTTTTTTTGTTAAATGTATGTAAGCACAAAATGTCAACAACAACTTAAAATATTTTGCACCTCACAGCCTCTCCCTACTTTATACAATATGCTACCTGCGACGTCTGACTCTTAATCCAACGTATATACGATGCCACCTTTGTATTCACCGAAGGCCGTCGTGTTGCGCACCCGTATCCATAACTAACAATGCCCACCACAAAGAGGCGCCCGCCCTCGCGCAAATATAACCCACCGCCCGAGTCATATTGGCAAGTGTCTCGTCCCGGTGTAAAGGTGCAGAATGTTGCAGGCGGCACAGTGCCCAGCGCGCTGCGACACTCATCAACGTCGAGCACATCCAGCAGTGCGGTGCGCAGAAGCGGCGATTGAGGACCACCAAATGAAATGCTGCCCCAGCCGGCGGTCTCCACGCGCTGACCTGCTATTGGCGGCTTGCGGCCATCCTCTCCATCGGCGATCGAACGAAATGGCAGGCAGGCGGGAGCGACGCCGCGATTCCACTCGATCGTTTGACGCGTGCGCAAAAGTGCAATGTCATTGCGCACCTGAGTGCCGGTTGCGCGAAAGTTTTCATGCAAAATGATGGTGTCGATGTCGTAGTAGCGAGTGTAGACCGATTCGTACACTGAAAGATATGATATTAGGCGAAAAAGCGATTACTTAAGTATGAAAAAGCTATTTACAGTACCAGTTGAGAGATCGTGCTCGCCTACAACCACCTGAAGCAGCTCTGAGCGATTTGTGGCGGCTGATATGAAGCAATGTGCAGCGGACAGCAAGAATTGGTGATGTACTGAAATTTGAGTAAAATCTCATTAGGTTAACTTATTCTAGGGTGTTATATTTTACAAAACTTACTGATCACCGCACCGCAGAAAATCTTCGCGTACTTCACCGTCAGCACACCCGCCATGGATGCGAACTCATGAACGCCGGCAACACTGGACGCACTAACCACTTTCAACGAGTATGTACTCCAACCGCAATCGCACTGCGACTCTACCGCCTCGACTAAACACGAAAAACGTCCATTACCCGCGCCAGCTGGATATCCGTCATAGTGCGATACGATGCGCGAGTCGCGTCGCTCCAAAGTGTCTATCGATTTGAGATCGTCTGCCGAGGCGTTTCTTACCTTTGCAGTTTCAGCGGGTGTTGCTGTAGTTGGCAGCAATGAACGAGAGTTTTCAATGCCATTGACAGCGAACCACGGTTGCAGAGAGACTGACAATGAATCCGCGTTAGCTGCTGGCCGCACCACTCTGCGCTTCGATTCGGCCACTTTGCGAAGATTGCACTTGCGTTTCTTATTCTTTCTTGACTTTCCAGCTGCTGGCGCTATTAGAACGCTGGTCTTTATTCCGTTGGCAAATAGAGCTACCAAATAAGCGAAGGCGTTGCTAATGTCCACCTGCGTTGTCGCTGACGAGGAGGTTGGAAGTGTATTTGTAGTGGAGTAATGAGCTGTGGTCATGTTTGCATTCTCTTCAGTTTTGGTGTTGCTAGTCATATTAAACCTCGTTTCCACATCCGCTGCTGTAGTTGGTATACCTCCGCCCTGCATGCCAACTTTGGTGGCACCTTTCACACCAGCGCCGAATTGCCGCCGAGGCGGACGCATTGAAATATATGAAATCACAGCACGGTTGAGAAAGCTTTTTCTCTCCATGCTGCCGCTGCCACAAAAATATTCAGAGCCGGATAAAAGTTCACTTCCTTCACGGTTGAAGTAGAAAATCTCATCATAACAACGCTCAGTCAACTGAGCTGTGGACACAGCAGGAGACTATTCATAAAATAAAACAAAGAAAAAAATCGCAGGAGAGTGAAAATGGTGGGGAATGAGTGTGTGCTGAAAAAATTTATTTATGCAAGAAAACAGAATCATATAAAAATATTTAACTTGCTGCTTAAAATCGTGAAAAGATACATAAAAATAAAAAAATACGTGCACATCGCATTGAATTAAAAAAAAAGTTTACTTTTTCATAGTTAATTTGAATGAACAGTCAACAAAGTGAGATTATAGCACTAGAAGCGTTGTCTAGCGCCGGTCAGTGGGATTATTTTAGTAGGTGCACCTGTGGCGGAAGTTGTCAGGACTCTTGTTGAGTAGTTTGTTTTTACTGTTAACTTTACTGTGAAATAAATTTTTTGAGCAAATATTAGCGCTGACTAGACTTAAATTTATTGAGCGAAGTCTACTGGAAAATATTTGATTTTTAAGTTGGCAATGAAGATAAATGAAAACTCTTTAACTTTGGAAAATTTTCCAGTTTAGTGGATTTATAAAACTGTTAAGCTCTAAACTTGCGGTTTATTATTAATTTTAATTAAAATTACACTCCTACATTCTTTAAAACACACACTTTTTTCACTGTCTTCGCCTACCACATTTATATCAATATTGCACTTGAAATCCAAGTGATAATCCCGCGGCGCCCTCAGCGTGTACCGACAGGAAGTGCCCGCCGGGTATGGATTCGGATAGAAGGGCGAATTTATGAATATCTTATCACCCGCCTCCAAGTCCAAAGTATGATTGCACTGCTCAAACAGTCCGACTGCTGCAGCAGCTAAGCATAGCAAATGTAGAATATTGCTACTTTTTAAAACCATTTTCCGATTTGTGTCTTTAAACTAATCGAATTTTTGTAAAATTGTTTGAAAGCTATATATATAAAATGCATTTGAGCCGCATCACAAATAACGAACCAACACGCGCGATTACGTTCAAATGACTGCGCGCCGCTACGCACAGCGCATGCGTGCAAGCTCGCAAAGTTGTCATTAATTTATTTACTTGTTTTCTTCTCTGCATTGCTTTCCAGCCCCGTTGCCGCTAGCTAGAAATTTTCTATCAATGAGTTACTATGAGTGGTAGGGAAGAGTTGCCATAGATGTAATAAAAAATTACCCAAAAGTTAAAATAAAACTAAAGATGTAAGCGCTTATCGCAAACATACATCGATGATTCAATAAGAACGCTGAATTACTTTAAATTTAAATAGCAACAAAATTTGTCGAAGAGATTTTTTTGATCGTGTTTTTTTGTCTGTGCCGTTTATTTATGAAACACAATATACCTGTTAAATACCCACAACCATGATAAAAATATAACAAGGTAAAACCATTGAGAAGCAGTCTGACGGTTGCCAGCAATATAATAAAAAAATTCAAATCTCAAACTCACACACACATTCTCATCTCCAATCCCAAACAACAACAATTGTGAACAATTGAATTTGTTTGGCCGAGAACGACTTCTCTGGCAAGTACTTACTATCATTCTTCAGCTCTGGAATTGTCTCCAGCTTATTGGCATAGACCATACTATTCACTTAGCTGTAGAGAAAGAATTCCAGTGGTGTCTAATTGCAAGATATGGACGACCATTTAATCTCGTTTTTTTCATTAGATAATGCGCCCTGGAAACCTCGTTCGTAAGAGGGCCATTGCCTCATGTGCTGTGTTGCAGGTAGTACCGTCCTATTTAAACCACATATTGTCCATGTCATCTCATTCAAGCCATGTCACGATAACGTTCACCGTTCACCGTAACAACGTTGCCAGCATCATCGAAAAACAGCTTATTCTGTTCATTGTATAAACTTGTTTCGCTTATTTGTGCAATTTAAGTGTGCTACACTGACGCGAGTTTATATGAAACTGTTTTTATTGATTTTCGCGACAACGAAAGACAAGCCGCTTAACAGATTCCAACTTTATTAATAAATTTTTTCAATTGATGTTAGAGATTAGTTTTGCAGCTGCAAAATATTGGATACATGGCACCTCTTTGCACAGTTAAACGATCAGCTGACAGCATTAGTGGTTTTTGCAGCAATGCAATCTACCTATCAATGCTCTCCGCGCAGACTCAGCTTGCTTATCGCCAGTAGCTGGGTATTCCTTTTGCACACCCACTTGCTTTCTCTTTCATTCACCAATCATACCGGTGTCATGACTTGCATGTGGACGTATGTATGTATGGATATGCATATGAAGAAGAAAAATAAAAGTAAAAGTGGGTCAACAGGGCTACTGATACGGAAGCTACATATGACACCGCTAATTACATACAAATTTATATACATGCCAATGCCGGTATAGCTAGTGGCCATCAAGTCAAGATCTCTACCAGCTCTAGGCGGTATTGTTGTTGTGGAGATTGTACATAAGTATGCTCGTTAAAAAACACTAAAAGAAATTCTTGAAGCTACAAAGAAAGCTTTAGTTGGCATAAACTGATAAACATAACACTCCCTATCAGAACAGACTGGGTAAATAGGTACCCCATATTTTGCAGGTAGCTTTACCTGGTATATTGGGTAATGTTTTTATGAGCTTTTTAACTGCAATATGTAAATTTGCTAACTGTACTCTTTTGTATGGGAGTATAGGGAACCTGTTCTGGTAGGGTTTTAAATACATTTACATACAAACACACATATACTAGTATACCTACTACTTACTTGTATAAATCAGTGCTGCTACAGAGTTGCTCGTTTTTCTATTTTCTTTTCTAACTAAGAAGGTTGTTTTCTTTATCGATTGACCTGTTCATCGATTTCAAGTTCAAGTATCGAATACATACTAGGTACTACAGATGCTAGATTGAAATAAAAAAATTGATTTTTAAGTCGATTCGAATCGAAATGGAAATAATCGACGCTGGAAGAAATAGACAAAAAATAGATCGGTTTTTACTTAATTTTTACAAAGAAAAAAACACGACGATCTGACCAACCCATTATTATATTTTTTAAATTTTTCATAACGGTTTCAATATTCAGATTTATTCGAAAGTTATTAAGTAGCTAACAATTCGTAAATACTTCATAAAAAAAAAAAAAAACAAATTACAATAATTAAGGAGTGCAAAATTTTTATGAAAATTTTCATTACAGTTTGGAATACTGATTTTTGGGGTTTTTGTTGTAGTATTAGCCATAATTTTATATACAGTTATTCCAAGAGGCTTTCCTGGGGTGCCCTTTAGTCGGAGGAAAAAGCGAGGCAGGTCATTGAATTCTTTGGTATTTGCTCTCTCAAGTTAGGTGTGAGGTGCCAAGCCCCATTATTTTTTCGTTCCAGCCACCAATTCAAATTTCTTTAAAATTTTATACATTTTCTGAGGTATACCATTGATCAATATGCATTAATTGAGGAAAATTCTAATGTCTGTTCTCAATTTTTTTTTATCGATTCACGGATCGTATCGGAACTAAAAAATCGATCAAAAATCGATTTGGAAGGGCTCGATTAATCGATCTTCGATTTAATCGATTTAAAAATGGCATCTCTGTTAGGTACAGTGTTTTTACGCACTAAAGACGAACCGTACCAGTTGTGCTGTGCGTTGCGACACAAATGGAGAAGCTCTACAATTTTATGCCGCCTCCGAAAGGCAGATGAATTTTATGATAATTTCATTGCTTGCCAAAAATTTAATATTGCTCGGACCTAAAATCAAGCTTGCAGCTCGTTAAACTAACGAAATGGGTAAACAAAATTATAACCATTTTTCTTAGTAGATCCAGTTTTTTTTTAACTAGACAATACCCCACTTATCGTCTTTAAAAAATTTTAATCCTCAATAAACAATTTGATGATTCGAAGAGCGAAGTAGTGCCACTCAAGCCGTTCATCTATAACGATGACATCATAAGGAATGGTGGGTATAGTAGACCGGCGTACATTTTTTTCTTTAAATACCTACTGTTTAGCTTTAAAAGCATTAAGTTCTTGGCAATTAAAATTAACATGCAAAAAACAAACTTAAATGTATGTATGTATGTATACTCAGTCCTTTTGTCATTTTACTTAATTTGATATTGTCCACAGCTTTTTTCTTCACAACACATTTCTTGCACATTCATAAGTTTTTTTCCTGCACAAATAATATTTTTTTACAACTGTGAAACTGTGTGCATTCGAATGCTCTGCCCTTACAGTTGGTTCCAGATTCTGGCTTTCCACAAACTCGCAGACACACACATCTAACATACGCTTGCATGTCCCTTAAAGCCAAATTAGTTTCTTCTATTTATTTTTGCAATTTATTTCTCTATTTTATTCAGCATTTTTTGTATAATTCATTTTATCATCTGCTGTTTCTTTTTTTTTTTTGTTTGCCTTTATTTTCGTCATATCCATACATATGTGGTGTTTACTTTTCTCGCGAGTCACAAAATCATAAAAAAAATTTTAACTTTATTTCGGCCATTTTTAATTTCCTACTCCTCGGCGTATGTTTTGTAGTAAACAGTCACAAAGGACAATAACTAACACCAACATACGCGACAAGGTGCACAGTTATAGCCAGGGAGGCTGCGAAAGAGTGGAATAGTCTTCCTCCTTCTTTCTCTGCTCGGCACCGCCATCGTCATCGGCAACATCAGCCAGCAAGCTGTTTCTTTGGTCAACAAAAAAGATTTATGTATGGAAGAAATAGCGGTGAAAAAAAAATATTGTGATGAGGAGGCTGGGAAATAATTCAAAGTGGCTACACTAAAGCCAAAGCTAATATACAAAAGAGTAATAAAAA